ACCGCAGAACCCAACTGTGTACAGTACACATAAATATAAATATACACTGGGAAACACCACAGAGCCCGACAGTGTACAGTAAATATATATATGTGTATACACACACACGCTGGGAAACATCCCTTAGCCCAACAATGTACAGTAAATGTAAATATATAGCGGGAAACACCGCAGAGCCTGACAGTGTACGGTAAATATTAATATACACCGGGAAACACCGCAGAGCCCGACTGTGTATGGTAAGTATAAATATATATACGCCAAGAAACACCACATAGACCAACTGTGTACGGTAAATATAAATATACACTGGGAAACACTGCAGAGCCCGACAGTGTACGGTAAATATATATACACACTGGGAAACATCTCTTAGCCCAACAGTGTACAGGAAATATAAATATATAGCGGGAAATACCACAGAGCCCGACAGTGTACGGTAAATATTAATATACATCAGGAAACACCACAGAGCCCGACTGTGTACGGTAAATATAAATATAAATATACACTGGGAAACACGGCAGAACCCAACAGTGTACTGTAAATATATATATATATATACACACGCTGGGAAACATTCCTTAGCCCAGCAGTGTAAACATAAGTATATAGCAGGAAACACCGCAGAGCCCAACAGTATACAGTAAATATAAATAGATAGCGGGAAACACCACAGAGTGCCACAACATCCTGTAACTGGCTATCACTGGGAATCCCACAGTGTACAGCATTACACCGTAAATATGTACACCAGTTTGCTGTGATGTATACACCAGAACATCACAGAGTTCGGTAATACATTCTAACTATAAACATCACCAGGAAACACTACAGAGTGGAACAGTACACCGTAAATATGCATTAGGAATCACCGGAAGTTACACTCAAAGATAGTAATAACTGCAGATGCTTAAGTCAGAGATAACATTGTGTGGAGCTCCACACTGTGTTACCACATTTTACACTGATGCACTAGGAAACACCAACTTATATCTAAATGTACGCTGAGAAATATAATAATATCAATATAATATACTTTTGTTGTCACGCGTGCCCTATTGTAGGACTACAGTGAAAAACATATACAGTGCCTGCTTTCTTATGGTGACATCTTGGCCTCTGGGCCCCTGTGCTGTATCCAAGAATTGTACCTAGGTACTTGTACCTCAGACCCATACAATTGGTACAGCATAGAAGGTGGCCATTCAGCCCACCTGGTCCATGTTGTTCCAAAGACACCCATGTGCCCTTTCGAATCCCATCTAGCTGCACATGGCCCATAGCCCTGCAGCTTACAGCACTTAAGGAGAAGATCCAGGTACTTTTTGAAAGAGTTTATGGTGTCTGCCTCCACCATCAACTCAGATGGCGAATTCCAAACGCCCACCATCCTCTGCCTGAAAATGTTTTTGCTCATGTCCCCTCTAATTCTTCTGCCTCTTGAATCTATGACCCCTAGTTTTTGAACATTCTGCCAAGGGAAACAGGTTCCTCTTGTCTATTCTATCTCTAGCCCGCACAATTCTGTATACCTCTATCATGTCACCCCTTAGCCTTCTCTATTCCAAGAAAAACAGCCTTAACCTGTCCAGTCTCTTTGTAGCTACAATTGTCCAGCTCCGGTAATGTTCTAGTAAATTTCTGCATACTTTCCAGAGCAATTATGTTCTTTCTGTAACGTGGTGACCAGAACTGCGCGCACATACACCAGTTGTGGTCTCACCAGTGTCTTGAACAGTTTCATCATTACATCCCTACTTTCGTATTCTATACTTCTACCAATGAAGGGGAGCGTTCAATCTGCCTTCTTTACAACCTAATCTATCTGTGGTGCTCTCTTTAAGGACCTGGGCACCTGCATGCCAAGATCCGTCACTTTATCTACCCCTCTCAGTATATTTGTGTTTATTGTGTATTACTTTTTACTGTTTGACCTCCCTAAATGCATTGCCTCATATTTTATCAGAGTTGAATTCCATCTGGCACTTTCTTGTTTGCTCTACCAAACCATGTCTATCATTTTGGAGCTTACAGCTATCCTCTACACTGTCAATTACACACCGGGTTTTGTGTCATCTACAGATTTCCCAGTTGTGCCCCCCATGTTCAAGTCCAAATTGTTAGTGTATGAAACAAACAGCAGGGGACCCAATACTGGGATCTGCAGAACACCACTTGAAATAGCATTCCATTTGCAAAGGCAGCCATCAACCATTCTCCTTTGTTTCCTGTTACTAAGCCAAGCTTGAATTCAATTTGACACATTACCCTGTATTCCATGGGCTTTTACATTTTTGACCAGTCTGCCATGTGGGACCTTGTCAAATGCCTTATAAAAATCCATTTAGACAACATTGACTGCACCATCCTTATCGATCCTCGTTCTCACTTCCTCAAAAAATTCAGTCAAATTTGTAAGACGTGACCGATCCTTAACAAAGACATGCTGACTATCACTGACTAGTCCATGCCTTTCTAAGTGATAATTTATCTGATCTCTTGGGATTGATTCTAACAATTTGCCCACCACCGAAGTAACCTGATCTCTTTCAACATTCTAGGGAACAATCCATCCAGCCCTGGTGATTTATCCACTCAAGGATTCTAACTCCCTAACGCTTCCTCTCTATCATTATTTTGTCCAATACTACTCCTCTTGGATACAATATCATCCCTTTCCTTTGTGAATATGGAAAGAAAGAATTAATTTAAACTTCTACCCATATCGTCTGCATCTTCATACAAGTTTTCTTCTTCATCTGGGATAGGTCCTTTTTTCTTAACTATCCTTTTGCTCTTTATATCATGGCGAAATATCTTTGTTTTCTTTATCTTGCTTGCTAATATTTTTTTCATGCCGTCTCTTTGATTTCCTTTTTTTTACTTGATCCCTGTACTGTCTGTACTCCTCTAGGCTATCTGCAGTGTTGAGTTTTTTGTGACTTTCATAAGCTTTCTTTCAAAAAACCGAAAGAACCGCAGATGCTGGAAATGAGAAACAAAAACAAATTGCTGGAGAAGCTCAGCAAGTCTGGCAGCACCTATGGAGAGAAATCAGAGTTTATGTTTCGGGTTCAGTGACCCTTCCTCAGAACGGCTTTCTTTTTAATCTTCCCCTGTATTTTTCTAGATAACCATGGGGGTCTAGATTTGGCAGTGCCATCCTTATTTTTGGAGGAGATGTCTGCTTTGTGCCTTAGTGCCTCCTGCTGGGTTGCCACTGATTTATCCCTTAGCAGTCCTGACCAGTCCACCTTAGCCAAATCTTTTTGCAGTTTTGTCAAATATTCCTTCCCCCAGTTAAAAACTTTGACCCCTGATGTATCTCCTTCCATTTCCTAAATGATGTGATTTAATTTACTATTGTCAGATGTACCAAGATGCAGTGAAAAGTATTGTTTTGTGTACTAACTAGACAAATCATACATAAGTACATGAGGATAATAGAACAGAATGCAGAGTATAGTGCTACAGCTACAGAGAAGGTGCAGAGAAAGATCAACTCTAATATATGAGAGGTCTGTTCGTAAGTCTAATAACAGTTTGAAAGAAGCTGTTCTTAAATATGTTGGTACATATTTTCAAACTTCTGTATCTTCTGCCCGATATGAGGGTGGGAAAGATATAACCAAAAAAAATTGTGTATGCTGTAATTCAAACTAAAACAGAAATTGCTGGAGAAGCTCAGCAAATCTGGCAGCATCTGTGGAGGGAAATTAGAGTTAACGTTTTGGGCTGAGTGAAGGGTCACTCAGCCCAAAACACTAATTCTGATTTCTCTCTCAGACGCTGCCAGCCCTGCTCAGCTTTTCCAAAGATATAACTGGGGTGGAAAGGGTCTTTGATTATGTTGGTTGCTTTCCTGAGGCAGTGGGAAGTGTAAATGGAGTCAATGGAAGGAATGCTGGTTTTTGTGATGGATTGGGCTGTTTTCACAACTCTACAATTTCTTGGAGTCTTGGGCAGAGCAGTTGCCATAGCAAGCTGTGATACACCTGGATAGGATGCTTTCTATGGTACATCTGTAAAAATTGGTAATGATATTAAATCTAACAAGATTATGGTCACTATCCCCAATATGGTTGCCCACTGTCACTTCACCCACTTGCCCTTCTCTCATAGCGACTTGTTGGGCTTATCATGTATCAAAATCCTGGACGCACTATGTGAACTTTTCATCCTCAATGTACTTTATATTGTTTGAAACTTGGTTGATATTGGAATTGTTCTAGTCTCCTGCTCTTGTTCCCCCGTTATTCCTACAGGCAGAAATTTGTCTACATATACGTTATTTTATCTCCCTCGCATTATTTAGGGGTGTGTAGTATGCTCCTACTAGAGTGACTACCCAGTTTTTATTCCCAAGATCAACCCTTTTGAGCCTAATTTGTTAACCCATTTAGTATGTCTTCCCTTCTCACAACGGTAATTGGTTCTTTAACCGGTACTGCTACACCGCCCCGTTCCCCCCCCCCCCCCCCCCCCCACCCCCCCCCCCCCCCCCCCCCACTTTCTTTTGTTATCACCCTCTCTATCCTGCCTGAAGACTCTTCCCGGGATATTGAGATGTCAATTTTGTCCTT